CTGATTTGAAGCTGATAAAATGTTCAATCATCTACTGCAAACACTTAGGACTGACCATAGATGTCACCGGCAGGTGTGGGAATGCAAGCCAGGCCTAGGATCCCCCGGTTGCTGCAGTAAACATGCAGAATGACTCTGCCACACAACGGGACATTCATGTGGAAGCTGAAGAGCACAGCCACAAGCAGCAGAGCAAGCAACCAGGCCAGGGCGCAGCAGGAGTGCAGCCGAGCCGAGGTCATGATGGCGTGATACCTGAGAGGCTCACAGACTGCAATGTACCTGCACAGAGAAATCAAACAGACATTTATACTAAAAGATATGTAGTAGCTTTTAATTTAGAAGTTTTGTTAATGAAAAAAAATATTTTAAAGTCTTTTCAAAATCCTGTAGTTTCTCATTTCTTTGGAAAAAACTTTTTCTTACAATTCTACAAACAAAAAGAAGATAAAAACAGAAGAAGAACAGATGAAAAGAACACAACGCTGACATACAGCTAAAGGTTGGAGACATAATCCATTATCAATTACATTCAAACATTCATTCAAGTGAAAGCAGCATCAAAAAGGAAAGTTTGATTTTCTTTTTTCTTTTACATTGAGCTGATAGTTTTATTACCTGTCGTAGGCCATCACACCCAGAATAGTCTGCATTGCTACCCCATATGTGTGCACAGAAAAGGCCTGGGCAATGGCTGGGATGTATGCAATCCTCTTCTGTCCCATCAAGAACTGCATCATGAGACCAGGCAGCACAGCTGTGGACCCCAAAAGATCACAGACTAGCAGGTGGCACACCATTACAAACATGGGTCTGTGCAGGTTCTTGTCAATAACAATCACAGATACTACGACACCATTGCCCAGCAACACCAACATGTAGGTAAACAGAGCCAGGAAGAACAGTAAAGGGCCAAACCCTGGAGGTATATAGAAGCCTTCAAGTTCAAACACAATCGGCTGTTTGAGAGGAATCGCCATTGTTAGGTTCTCCATCCACAGCAGCTCGTTTCTGCAAAACA